GTTGTTAATGATACAAACCTTAGAATGTCTTAGAAATCAAAACATATCTGGGCTGCATGATGTGACTACAGGCTGTTGATGATTTCAGAAAGTCGCAAAAAAAAGCTTGCGCTCTGTTCCTTGCCTCAGGCTGCACAGCTGTTCTCTCATCAAGTGATCATATTTTCACCCATCAGACTATTCTCAATTTAATCTTGTCTTTACTAATATGTCGAATTTGTTTTGATGTAGAATGGCCCATTATGGACATGCCCAGGAACAGGGGCATGTCACTCCAATGGCGAACGGAGGCCTTGCGCTTTCCCACCGGTCCGTTTTTCAATGATACCTGGTAGGCTACTTCGGTTTTATAGCGGAGCTGTGATTAATATGAGCAGCTGAGAAATAAATATAAGAACACTTACATACATTTTAGTCATTTAGCAGACGCTCTTATCCAGAGCGACTTACAGGAGCAATTAGGGTTAAGTGCCTTGCTTAAGGGAACATCGGCAGATTTTTCACCTAGTTGGCTCGGGGATTAGAACCAGCGACCTTTCGGTTACTGGCACAACGCTCTTACCCACTAAGCTACCACTTATTTCACTCCACACGTCATCCACTGTTCGAGGAGCATGTTCTCGCTGCGTGACAGGGGATACAGTATTCCGCCCAAACTCTGTACGCCACGGGGTTCTCCGATCCTGTTCCTACAGCTACCCAGTGCTTCATTTGGGAAACCAAGTGAAATCTGTTCGGGAACATCGATAAAAATAATAATAATAATATTTATCCAAAGCGACTTACAGTCATGCATGCGTAATTTTATTTTGTGTATGGGTGGTCCCGGGAATCGAACCCACTACCTTGGCGTTACAAGCGCCGTGCTCTACCAGCTGAGCTACAGAGGACCACAATAACAATAACAATAATAACATGTTTTCGCAAAGAAACATATTTCACTAAACTGTTGACAGCCCGTCTGCACGCTGGAGAAAGGAATACAGGAGAGAGAGGAGGAGATGGAAACGCACGGTGGTGAGATATTCTGTATAGCTAAAGGTAATGTACCACCTAATTAATTATGAAAAAATAAAATAATTCCCTATTACGGGCCTCCCGAGTGGCGCAGCGGTCTAAGGCACTGCATCGCAGTGCTAGAGGCGTCACTACAGATCCGGGTTCGATCCCGGGCTGTGTCGCAGCCGGCCGCGACCGGGAGACCCATGAGACGGCGCTCAATTGGCCCAGCGTCGTCCGGGTTAGGGGAGGGTTTGGCCGGCTGGAATGTCCTTGTCCCATTGCGCTCTAGCGACTCCTTGTGGCGGCCGGGCGCAGTGCACACTGACTTCAGGTCGCCAGCTGTACGGCGTTTCCTCCGACACATTGGTGCTTCTGGGTTAAGCGAGCAGTGTGTCAAGAAGCAGTGCGGCTTGGCGGGTCGTGTTTCGGAGGACGCATGGCTCTCGACCTTCGCCTCTCACGAGTCCGTACGCTAAATTGGCTGTGCCTTTAAACAGCATGAAGAAAATGATGTCATGGCTTTAGAAGCTTCTGATAGGCTAATTGACATAATTTGAGTCAATTGGAGGTGTACCTGTGGATGTATTTCAAGGCCTACCTTCAAATTCAGTGCCTCTTTGCTTGACATCATGGGAAAATCTAAAGAAATCAGCCAAATATTGTAGACCTCCACAAGTCTGGTTCATCCTTGGGAGCAATTTCCAAACGCCTGAAGGTACCACGTTCATCTGTACAAACAATAGTACGCAAGTATAAACACCATGGGACCACGCAGCCGTCATACCGCTCAGGAAGGAGACGCGTTCTGTCTCCTAGAGATGAACGTACTTTGGTGTGGAAAGTGCAAATCAATCCCAGAACAGCAAAGGACCTTGTGAAGATGCTGGAGGAAACAGGTACAAAAGTATCTATATCCACAGTAAAACGAGTCCTATATCGACATAACCTGAAAGGCCACTCAATAAGGAAGAAGCCACTGCTCCAAAACCGCCATAAAAAAGCCAGACTACGGTTTGCAACTGCACATGGGGACAAAGATCGTACTTTTTGGAGAAATGTCCTCTGGTCTGATGAAACAAAAATAGAACTGTTTGGCCATAATGACCATCGTTATGTTTGGAGGAAAAAGGGGGTCGCTTGCAAGCCAAAGAACACCATCCCAACTGTGAAGCACAGGGGTGGCAGCATCATGCTGTGGGGGTGCTTCGCTGCAGGAGGGACTGGTGCACTTCACAAAATAGATGGCATCATGAGGAAGGAAAATTACGTGGCTATATTGTAGCAACATCTCAAGACATCAGTCAGGAAGTTAAAGCTTGGTTGCAAATGAGTCTTCCAAATGGACAATGACCCCAAGCATACTTCCAAAGTTGTGGCAAAATGGCTTAAGGACAACAAAGTCAAGGTATTGGAGTGGCCATCACAAAGCTCTGACCTCAATCCTATAGAAAATGTGTGTGCAGAACTGAAAAGGCGTGTGCGAGCAAGGAGGCCTACAAACCTGACTCAGTTACACCAGCTCTGTCAGGAGGAGTGGCCCAAAATTCACCCATCTTATTGTGGAAAGCTTGTGGAAGGCTACCCGAAACGTTTGACCCAAGTTAAACAATTTAAAGGCAATACTACCAAATACTCATTGAGTGTATGTAAACTTATGACCCACTGGGAATGTGATGAAATAAATAAAGCTGAAATAAATCATTCTCTCTACTATTATTCTGACATTTCACATTCTTAAAATAATGTGGTGATCCTAACTGACCTAAGACAGGACATTTTTACTAGGATTAAATGTCAAGAATTGTGAAAAACTGAGTTTAAATGTATTTGTCTAAGGTGTATGTACAGTTGGGAAAAAAAGTATTTAGTCAGCCACCAATTGTGCAAGTTCTCCCACTTAAAAAGATGAGAGAGGCCTGTAATTTTCATCATAGGTACACGTCAACTATGACAGACAAAATGAGGAAAAAAAATAACAACAATAACAAAAGTTTCTCAATACTTTGTTATATACCCTTTGTTGGCAATGACACAGGTCAAACGTTTTCTGTAAGTCTTCACAAGGTTTTCACACACTGTTGCTGGTATTTTGGCCCATTCCTCTATGCAGATCTCCTCTAGAGCAGTGATGTTTTGGGGCTGTCGCTGGGCAACACGGACTTTCAACTCCCTCCAAAGATTTTCTATGGGGTTGAGATCTGGAGACTGGCTAGGCCACTCCAGGACCTTGAAATGCTTCTTACGAAGCCACTCCTTCGTTGCCCGGGCGGTGTGTTTGGGATCATTGTCATGCTGAAAGACCCAGCCACGTTTCATCTTCAATGCCCTTGCTGATGGAAGGAGGTTTTCACTCAAAATCTCACGATACATGGCCCCATTCATTCTTTCCTTTACACGGATCAGTCGTCCTGGTCCCTTTGCAGAAAAACAGCCCCAAAGCATGATGTTTCCACCCCCATGCTTCACAGTAGGTATGGTGTTCTTTGGATGCAACTCAGCATTCTTTGTCCTCCAAACATGACGAGTTGAGTTTTTACCAAAAAGTTATATTTTGGTTTCATCTGACCATATGACATTCTCCCAATCCTCTTCTGGATCATCCAAATGCACTCTAGCAAACTTCAGACGGGCCTGGACATGTACTGGCTTAAGCAGGGGGACACGTCTGGCACTGCGGATTTGAGTCCCTGGCGGCGTAGTGTGTTACTGATGGTAGGCTTTGTTACTTTGGTCCCAGCTCTCTGCAGGTCATTCACTAGGTCCCCCCGTGTGGTTCTGGGATTTTTACTCACCGTTCTTGTGATCATTTTGACCCCACAGGGTGAGATCTTGCGTGGAGCCCCAGATCGAGGGAGATTATCAGTGGTCTTGTATGTCTTCCATTTCCTAATAATTGCTCCCACAGTTGATTTCTTCAAACCAAGCTGCTTACCTATTGCAGATTCAGTCTTCCCAGCCTGGTGCAGGTCTACAATTTTGTTTCTGGTGTCCTTTGACAGCTCTTTGGTCTTGGCCATAGTGGAGTTTGGAGTGTGACTGTTTGAGGTTGTGGACAGGTGTCTTTTATACTGATAACAAGTTCAAACAGGTGCCATTAATACAGGTAACGAGTGGAGTACAGAGGAGCCTCTTAAAGAAGAAGTTACAGGTCTGTGAGAGCCAGAAATCTTGCTTGTTTGTAGGTGACCAAATACTTATTTTCCACGAAATTCTCAGCTTTGGTATTGACATCAGTGAGCAGGCTTTGAGTGAGGAGAGTCTCTAGTAAAGATGAGGTGTGCCTGAAAACGAAAACGATTATGAAATTCGGACCAGAGAAATCCAATATTTATACACTGAACAAAAATATAAACGCAACATGTAAAGTGTTGGTCCCATGTTTCATGAGCTGAAATAAAAACATCACAGAAATGTTCCATACGCACGTGTACGACATCGTGTTCCAGTTCCCGCTAATATCCAGCAACTTCGCACAGCCACTGAAGAGGAGTGGGACAACATTCCACAGGCCACAATCAACAGCCTGATCAACTCTATGCGAAGGAGATGTGTCGCGCTGCATGAGGCAAATGGTGGTCACACCAGATCCTGACTAGTTCTGATCCACGCCCCTACCTTTTTTTTTTTAAAGGTATCTGTGACCAACAGATACATACCTGTATTCCCAGTCATGTGAAATCCAATCGATAAAGGGCCTAACTAATTTATTTCAATTTACAGATTTTCATATATGAACTTTAACTCAGTAAAACCTTTGAAATTGTTGCATGTTGCATTTATATTTTGGTTCAGTGCACAATATTCTGCCCATATGAACTAATTTATTTTAGGCCATAACTGAACCAATTTCTGTAGGCTAGAGCTTCACAGCTTCCCCAGGCTTCAACGCTTCCCCCGGGAAACTCAACGTATTGTAGCCTCACGCGGACGATAGAATAGCGGAGAAAGGAGTTCTGCTTCAGGGTACGCGCGTGTGTGTGGTGGTGGCCCCCTTACCTGTACTCGGCGCCCCAGCCCTTGACGAAGCTCATGCGTATGGTACACATCCTGGTGAGTTGGTAGACCGCCTCAAAGCCCTGGTTCACTGACTGGGCCAGCAGAGCTGCAAACTCCTGGTTATTAAAGATCTTCAGGTTACAGCCTGTGGGGGGAAATCACATCAAATAGGAGTTATAGAATATGTCCAGACATGTTAATCAAGAAATAAATGAGTTTGTTTCATCAGCTTTTCTACAACATGTTAACGTGTGTGTTTACCTGGGGGGGATCTTGCAGACAGTGGCAGGGTTCCAGCCGTAACGTGTGTGTGTGTGTACCTGGGGGGATCTTGCAGACTGTGGCAGGGTGCCAGCCGTAACGTGTGTGTGTACCTGGGGGGATCTTGCAGACTGTGGCAGGGTGCCAGCCGTAACGTGTGTGTGTACCTGGGGGGATCTTGCAGACAGTGGCAGGGTGCCAGCCGTAACGTGTGTGTGTACCTGGGGGGATCTTGCAGACAGTAGCGTGTGTGTGTGTGTACCTGGGGGGATCTTGCAGACAGTGGCAGGGTGCCAGCCTTAATGTGTGTGTGGACCTGGGGGGATCTTGCAGACAGTGGCAGGGTGCCAGCCATAACGTGTGTGTGTACCTGGGGGGATCTTGCAGACAGTGGCAGGGTGCCAGCCGTAACGTGTGTGTGTACCTGGGGGGATCTTGCAGACAGTGGCAGGGTGCCAGCCGTAGCGTGTGTGTGTGTGTACCTGGGGGGATCTTGCAGACAGTGGCAGGGTGCCAGCCGTAACGCTGGTTACAGGTGGGACTCTGGACAAAGATGGCACTGTCACTAAGACACTCTGCAAACACCTCTCCTCCAATGTAGTACAACCTCACACCCCCGGCCTTCCTTCTTTCTTTCTATTCTCTCTCTCTCTCCTTCTCTCTCTACATCTCCTCTCTCTCTCTCTCTCTCTCTCTATCTCTCTCTCTCTACTCTCTCTCTCTCTCTTCTCTCTTTCTCTCTCTCTCTCTCTCTCGTCTCTCTCTCTCTCTCGCTGCGCTCGCTCTACTCTTCTCTCGCCTCTCTCTCTCTCTCTCTCTCTCCTCTCTCTCTCTAACTCTCTCTCCTCTTGTCTTTCTCTCTCACCGCTCTCCGCTCCTTCCCTCTTCTTCTTTCTCATCTCTCTCCTCTCTCTCCCTCTCTCTCTCTCTCTCTCCTCTCTCTCTCTCTCTCTCTCTCTCCCTCTCCTCTTTCTCTCTCTCTCTCTCTCTCTCTCCCCTCTCTCTCTCTCTCTCCTCCTTCTCTCTCTCTCTCTCTCTCTCTCTCTCTCTCTCTCTTCTCTCTCTCTCTCTCTCTCTCCTTCTCTCTCTCTCTCTCTCTCCTCCTTTCTCTCTCCTCTCTCTCTCTCTCTCTCTCTCTCTCTCTCCTCTCTCTCTCTCTACTCTCCTCTCTCTCTCCTCTCTCCTCTCTCTCCTCCTCTCTCTTCCTATTCTCTCCTCTCCTCTCCTCCCTCTCTCTCTCTCCTCCTTTCTCTCTTCCTCTCTCTCTTTTCTCTCTCTCTCTCCTCTCTCCCCTTTTCTCTCTCTCTCTCTCTTCCTCCCCTCTTCTTTCTCTCTCTCTCTTTTCTCCCCCCCTTCCTTTTTTTTCTTTCTTCTCTCTTCTCTCCCTCCTTTTTTCTTTCTCTCCCCCCTCTTTTCCTCCTCTTCCCCCCCTTTTTCCTCCTTTTTTTATTTTTTTTTTCTTTCCCCTCCCTAACCCTTAAACCAAAAACTTCAACCAAACCCCCTCAGGAGGGAAAGACCCTTCATTGGGTTTTAACATTGCCCGGTTCTGATAAGAGACACTAGGTGTGGGAACGGTAATAACGGGGGTAATTTTGTCCCGGGGGTAAAAGGGGTTTTAACGGTATAAAGGGAAATTTTCATTACATTTACAATTTACATTTTGGGCATTTACCGACGCTCTTAAAACCCAAGGGGAAATTACAGTTGTCATACATTATTTTTTTTTCGAACCCACCCAAAAACCCCGGCGTTGCAAACGCCATGCCCCAAAAGCCTGAGGGGTAAACCCCTGCCGGCCATTCCATCCCCTACCCCCCGGACAAAGCTGGGCCAATTTTGCGCCCGCCCCCCATTGGGGCTCCCCCGGGGCCCCTTTCCCCCCGGGGAAAACATACCTTTATTCTTAACAATCTCTATGGCACAGCTAGAAACCCACGATGCAGTGCCCTTTGAAACCCCTGCGGGCCCCTCAGGGTAACGTGGTAGGGGTGTAAAGGGGTGGTGTTGGTTTAAAGGGGGTGGTGTGTAATGGTATAAATAATTGGGGGTAGGTTTTTTAACCCGGGTTGTTGGTGGGCGGTGTGTTGGGGGGTGGTGTTAAGGGTTTATAGTAATGGTGGTAGGTTTGTAAGGGTGGGTAGGTGTGTAATGGTTATAGTAATGGTGGTGGGTTTTGTAAGGGTAGTAATTGGGTGGTAGGGTGTAATGGGGGGAGGGTGTAATGGTATAGTAATGGTGGTAGGTGTGTAACGGTATAGTAACGGTGGTAGGGGTGGAAACGGTGGTAGGTTTTTTAACGGTGGTAGGTTTTGGTAATGGTATGTAATGGTGGTAGGTGTGTAATGGTTTATAGTAATGGTGGTGGGTTTGGGGTAACGGTTATGAAATGGTGGTAGGGGTTGTAAGGATAGAAGGTGGTAGGTGTTGTAACGGTGTAGGTGTGTAAGGGTGGTAGGTGTGAAAGGGTATAGTAACGGTGGTAGGTGTGTAATGGTGGTAGGTGTGTAACGGTGGTAGGGTGTAATGGTGGTAGGTGTGTAATGGTATAGTAATGGTGGTAGGTGTGTAATGGTATAGTAACGGTGGTAGGTGTGTAATGGTGGTAGGTTTGTAATGGTATAGTAATGGTGGTAGGTGTGTAATGGTGGTAGGTGTGTAATGGTATAGTAATGGTGGTAGGTTTGTAATGGTATAGTAATGGTGGTAGGTGTGTAATGGTATAGTAATGGTGGTAGGTGTGTAACGGTTGGTAGGTTTTGTAAGGGTATAGTAATGGTGGTAGGTGTGTAATGGTATAGTAATGGTGGTAGGTTTTGTAATGGTTTTATAAAAAGGGGTGGTAGGTGGTAACGGTGGTAGGTGTTGTAATGGTTATAGTAATGGTGGTAGGTGGTAAGGGTATAGTAACGTGGTGGGTGTAATGGTGGTGGGTGTGTAAGGGTTATAGTAATGGGGTAGGTGTGTAACGGTGGTAGGGGGTGTAATGGTATAGTAATGGGGTAGGTTGTAACGGTTTTAGTAATGGTGGAGGTTTTGAAAAGGGTTTATAGTAATGGTGGTGGGTTTGTGTAATGGTATAGTAATGGTGGTAGGTGTGTAATGGTATAGTAATGGTGGTAGGTGTGTAACGGTGGAGGTTTGTAATGGTTAGTATGGTGTAGGTGTGTAATGGTTATAGTAATGGTGGTGGGTGGTGGTAAGGGTTTATAGTAATGGTGGTGGGGTTTGAAAAGGGGGGTTAGTTGTAATGGTGGTGGGGTGTGTAAGGTGGAGGTGTAATGGTTATAGTAATGGTGGTAGGTTTGACGGTATAGTAATGGTGGTAGGTGGAATGATAGTAATGGTGGTAGGTGTGTAATGGTATAGAAATGGTGGTGGTGGTAATGGTATAAGAAATGGTGGTAGGTTTGTAATGGATAGTAAGGGGTGGTAGGTGTGTAAGGGTATAGTAATGGTGGTAGGGTGTAAGGTAAGAATGTGGTAGGGGTAACGGTGGTAGGTGGTAATGGTGGTAGGTGTGTTAACGGGGGTAGGTGGAATGTATAGAAATGGTGGTAGGTTGTAGGGTATAGTAATGGTGGTTAGGTTGTTTGTAATGGTATAGTAATGTGGGAGGTTGTTAAGGTATAGTAATGGTGGTGGTGTGTAACGGTGGTAGGTGTAATGGTGGTAGGTGTTGTAACGGTGGTAGTGTGTAATGGATAGTAATGGTGGTAGGTTTGTAACGTATAGTTGGTGGTGGTTGTAAGGTTTTTAATGGGGTAGGTTGTTGTAAGGTATAGTAAGGTGGTAGGTGTGTAATGGTATAGTAATGGTGGTAGGTGGGGGTAATGGTAAGTAATGGGGTAGGTGTTTTAATGGTTATAGTAATGGTGGTAGGTGTGTAACGGCATAGTAATGGGGGGTAGGTGTGTAATGGTATATTTAATGGTGGTAGGTGTGTAAGGTATAGTAATGGTGGTAGGGGGTTGTAAAGGACATAGTAAGGGGGTAGGGGTGTAATGGTATAGTAATGGTGGTAGGTGTGTAATGGTATAGTAATGGTGGTAGGGTGTGTAATGGTATAGTAATGGTGGTAGGTGTGTAATGGTGGTAGGTTTTGAAAAGGGTTTTATAGTATCATTTAGGGTGTTGTTACCTCTGTGTCTGCATGTGGTCAGTGTGATGGGAAGTTTGTACCTACAGTCCCAATCAAAATTTTGGACACACCGACTCATTCAAGGGTTTTTTTTTATTTTACTATTTTCTACTTGAGAAAATAGTAAAGACATCAGAACTATGAAAAAACACATATGGAATCATGTAGCAACCAAAAAAGCATATGTGGGAACTCCCTTTAAGACTGTTTGGGAAAAGCATTCCAGTGAAGCTGGTTGAAGAGAATGCAAGAGTGTGCAAAGCTGTAAACAAGGCAAAGGGTGGCTACTTGAAGAATATCAAGTATAAAATATATTTTGATTTGTTTAACACTTTTTTGGTTACTACGTGATTCCATATGTGTTACTTCATAGTTTTGATTATAGTTACAATGTAGAAAATAGTAAAAATAAAGAAAAACCCTTGAAGGAGTCGGTGTGTCCAAATTTTTATTAGTACTGTAGGTACAAAACTTCCATCACACTGACCAATGCAGACACAGAGGTAACACAACACCCTAGTGATACTATACCATTACAAACCTACCACCATTACACACCTACCACCATTACTATACCACTACACACCTACCACCATTACTATACCATTACAAACCTACTGTCAAGGTAGATGTAGGTGGGTGTGGTGGGGGAATCAGGCGCAGACGCAGAACGTTAGTCCAAAGCTTTTAGTATATGCACACAAAAACATCACGAATAAATGCCCTGAGGGCGAAAACTCCGCACGTAGCGAAAATAACGGGCCGAATAACAAGTGGCGACTAAAACCTCCAAGTAATATGGAAATAGCTCACCGATCAAACATAAATAACAGCCTACCTGCACTCAGTAAAACAATACACACAACACTAGATGCAAACACAACGAGAACTTATGGGAGCCGAATTACACTAACCTATAACGGTGTAACAACAATCGACATAAGCAACAACATAGAAACATGCAACGGTGGCAGCTAGTATTTCCGGAGACGACGACCGCCGAACCTGCCCGATCAGGGAAGAGAGGCAGCCTCGGCCGAAACCGTGACACCTCGCACCATCAGGGTAGTTAATATCATCAATCCTAAATAATAATACTAAGAGAATGAATTTATGTACATTTGTAAAGCCGTTTTTCTTATACCGCATAATCTCAAAGTACATAAATAAGCCAAAGTACTGGACCACCTAGACGTCAGACTGACACTAAGACAGGGCAACTGACAAAACTATACAGGGCAACTGAACAACTAGACCGGGGCAACTGACACTATACAGTGCACCGACCGACACAAGTATATCGCTGACACGACAAGGACACCAATGAATACAGCTGACCGGACAAGGACACCAATGTTGGGTCAGGGGTCCCGTTTATGTGGGTGCGAGCTGTACCTATGTGAACGCGTGTGGAGCTCCATGCAGCGTGCGGTTGACGTTGGACCGGTAGTCCCAGACAGAAGCGTTCTGAGTTGGAGGGGTCTGTAAAGCCGTCGACAGTGAGAGAGGGCTGGGAGGCATGGAAGGTCTCACCCACACGCTGGTTCAACTCATAATATAGCATAGAGCACCAAAAGCTGACTCACAGTCGAATTATACTGATCTGGAGTTCTGTAGAGAGACATAGATAGAGAGAGAGAGAGAAGAGAGACAGAGAGAGGGTCACAGAGACACAGACGACAGAGACAGAGACAATACAGAAGAAGACGAATAGAGCGAGATAGATGATATAGAGAGTAGAGAGAGAAGAGAGGACAGAGATGATAGGGAGACAGAGAGAGAGATAGACGGAGAGAGAGTGAGACCGAGAGGAGAGGGACAGCAGAGTAGGAGAGCGGATATAGAGACAGAGAGAGAGAGAGAGAGTAAGGCATCATGTGTTAGTAGATGTGGTTAAGCAGGTGACCTACACACAACTGGACGCAATATAATACATGGAATGTGCACCATGAGTTAGGCCACATGCTTGTGACTCAAGCCGCTCAACTCAGAGCAAGTCCAGGCCATGCACAATACATCCATCCATGCCAGCCAGTTAACCAGTCAGCCAGTTAACCATTCAGCCAGTTAAACCTGTCAGCAGCAACCACGCCTTAACCAGTCAACCTACCGGCCATTAACCAGCAGCCAGCCATTAACGAGTCGCCGAGCCACCTAGCTAACCAGTCAGCCACCAGCCATTTACGCATACCCCGTTTAACCATGCGCCAGCCAGGCCATATAACCATCATCCAGCACACACAGTTACCACAGAGCACCAGCCACACAGTTTAACCCCAACAGCCATCACACACAGTTTTCCCAGCATAGCAAGGCAGCCAGCAAAGCCAAGTTAAAACACAGTCAAGCCACCAGCCAGTTAACCAGTCGAACCAGCCACCAGATTAACCAACCAGCTCAGCCAGTTAACCATTCATCCAGCCCATAGCTAACCATCAGCCACCAGCCAGCCAGATAACCATCAGCCAGCCACACGTTAACCACTCAGGCCGGCCACACCTTTTACCAAGCCAGCCAGTTAACCAGCAGTCCGTTAAAACAATCGCAGACCAGCCATCACATTAAATTAACCCAGATGCATCACAATAACACACAGCACAGACATTAATAACCAGTCTGCCAAGCCAGCCAGTTGGTACCAGGGGTCATCACCAGCCATCCATAATATAAAAGCCAATACAAGATCTGCCCGCCGTTAACCAGTCACGCGCAGCCAGCCAGTTACCAGTCGTTCAGCCTCAGTGTAACCCGCCAGCCAGCCAGTTAGCCATAAAAATCATGTCATAACAGCCCAGCCCAGCCACTTAACCAGTCTGAAACATCCAGCAGCCAATTAACCATGATCAGAAATCTTTAACCGTCAACCAGTTCCAGCCGCCAGATACTCAACCACACAGCCAAGATTAACCAGATACCAGTCAGACCAGCCCCGCCAGTTAACCAGGTCAGCCAGCCATTTAACCAGTCAGCCAGCCTGAATCAGCCAGTCAGATCATTCAGCCAGCCGTCAGCCGTCAGGCCGTTACCAAGCCCGCCAGCCAGTCAGACCAGTTAATCAGATCAGACAAATAACTCAGCCAGCCAGCCAGCAGCCAGCCAAGATCCACCATGTAATACTCATTCAGACAATAACCAGTCAGAACAGCCACACAGTTTTAACCACTCAGCCAGCCACACCGGTTACCCAGCCAGCATGTGTAAGGCCCAGGTCAGCCATTAACCATTCAGCCGCCACCAGTTAAACCATTCGAGCCCAGCCAAGCCAGTTAACCAGTCTGGCCAGCCAGCCAGGTACAGGTCAGCCAGCCGCCAGTTAACCAGTCTGCCAGCCATTTAACCAGTCAGCCAGCCAGCCAGTACAGCCATCCAGCCGGCCATTAACCGAGTCGGGGCAGCATCCAGCCCCCGTTAACCAGTCTGCCAGCACGCCACCATCCAATTACACCATTCTGCCACACCAGCCATTACCAGTCAGTCCGTTAACCAGTCAGACCAGTTACCAGCCATCCAGTTCACCACCCAGTTAACCAGTTGAAACCATCGCCAGCCAGCCAGTTAACCAGTCAGCCAGCCAGTTAACCAGTCAGCCAGCCCAGTCAGCCAGTCAATCAGTCAGCCAGCCAGTCAGACACTCAGTCAGTTAACCAGCCAGCCAGCCAGTCAACCAGTTAATCAGTCAGACAGATAACCAGCCAGCCAGCCAGCCAGCCAGCCAGTCAGCCAGTTAACCAGTCAGCCAGCCAGCCAGTTAACCAACCAGCCAGCCAGTTAACCAGTCAGCCAGCCACATAGCTAACCAGTCAGCCAGCCAGCCAGCCAGATAACCAGTCAGCCAGCCACACAGTTAACCACTCAGCCAGCCACACCGTTTACCAGCCAGCCAGTTAACCAGGCAGCCAGTTAACCAGTCAGCCAGCCAGCCAGTTAACCAGTCAGCCAGCCAGCCAGTTAACCAGTCTGCCAGCCAGCCAGTTAACCAGTCAGCCAGCCAGCCAGTTAACCAGTCTGCCAGCCAGTTAACCAGTCAGCCAGCCAGCCAGCCAGTTAACCAGTCAGCCAGCCAGCCAGTTAACCAGCCAGCCAGCCAGTTAACCAGTCTGCCAGCCAGCCAGCCAGCCAATTAACCAGTCTGCCAGCCAGCCAGCCAATTAACCAGTCAGTCAGTTAACCAGTCAGCCAGTTAACCAGCCAGCCAGTTAACCAGCCAGTTAACCAGTTAACCAGTCAGCCAGCCAGCCAGTTAACCAGTCAGCCAGCCAGTTAACCAGTCAGCCAGCCAGTCAGCCAGTCAATCAGTCAGCCAGCCAGTCAGCCAGTCAGTCAGTTAACCAGCCAGCCAGCCAGTCAACCAGTTAATCAGTCAGACAGATAACCAGCCAGCCAGCCAGCCAGCCAGCCAGTCAGCCAGTTAATCAGTCAGACAGATAACCAGTCAGCCAGCCACACAGTTAACCACTCAGCCAGCCACACCGTTTACCAGCCAGCCAGTTAACCAGGCAGCCAGTTAACCAGTCAGCCAGCCAGCCAGTTAACCAGTCAGCCAGCCAGCCAGTTAACCAGTCTGCCAGCCAGCCAGTTAACCAGTCAGCCAGCCAGCCAGTTAACCAGTCTGCCAGCCAGTTAACCAGTCAGCCAGCCAGCCAGTCAGCCAGCCAGCCAGCCAGTTAACCAGTCAGCCAGCCAGCCAGCCAGTTAACCAGTCTGTCAGCCAGCCAGCCAGCCAATATAACACAGTCTGCCCAGGCCGGCCAGCCAATTAACCAGTCAGTCCAGTTAACCAAGTCCAGCCAGTTAACCAGCCAGCCAGTAACAGCCAGTTAAACCAGTTAACCAGTCAGCCAGCCAGCCAGGTTAACCAGTCAGCCAGACCCAGTTTAACCAGTCAGCCAGCCAGTCAGCCAGTCAATCAGTCAGCCAGCCAGTCAGTCAGTTAACCAGCCAGCCAGCCAGTCAACCAGTTAATCAGTCAGACAGATAACCAGCCAGCCAGCCAGCCAGCCAGTCAGCCAGTTAATCAGTCAGACAGCCAGCCAGTCAGCCAGTCAGCCAGCCAGCCAGCCAGCCAGTTAACCAGCCAGCCAGCCAGCCAGCCAGTTAACCAGCCAGCCAGCCAGCCAGTTAACCAGCCAGCCATTCAGCCAGCCAGCCAGCCAGCCAGTTAACCAGCCAGCCAGCCAGCCCAGCCAGCCAACCAGCCAGCCAGCCAGCCAGTTAACCAGCCAGCCAGCCAGCCAGATAGCCAGCCAGTCAGCCAGCCAGCCAGCCAGCCAGCCAGTTAACCAGCCAGCCAGCCAGCCATGTGAAACCCATAATCCCCCCACCAGTGTCTTTTAAATCCAATGAGATAGAATAAACCAGTATTTCCATTGGAGTCATTTATCAGACGCTCTTATCCAGAGCGACTTACAGGAGCAATTAGGGTGAAGTGCCTTGCTCAAGGGCACAAAGGAAACAGGCTATCTGCCGCACAGGATGTTATCTTTATTACATTACCATGGTCTGTCTGTCTGTCTGTCTCGAATGTGAGCTAGCCTATCCACAGGACTGGAGACAAAGGTTTTGTCTGTGTCAGCCTTCTGCCCTGCACCAAGGCCAAGCCTCTGGTTCCTCTGTCCACCTCCATAATTAATAACATTATATGGACGGCGGGGACCTGATCCTGGGAGGCTTGTGGATACGGCCCTGAACTCTCCAAGTCAGATGATGATGACTCTTTGAACGATTTACATTGAAAAATAAAGTTGTATTGAAACGCTTTGATTGAGTCATGACATGAACAACCAGTAACTAGACAAGTTACCACACAGATAATGAAACACACTGAAAGCTGAATGCTAGTAGAGAAACAGACTGCATTATTAAAAGCAGTTGTTACTTACCCAGGTTAGTGCTGTGTGCTGGTGAGGCTGGATCTGGTGACAGGTTACTGGGTGAGCCTACAGAGACAGAGACAGAGAGAGAGAGGTTGATTCTGGTGACAGGTTACTGGGTGAGCCTACAGAGACAGAGACAGAGGCTGTTTCTGGTGACAGGTTACTGGGTGAGCCGAGAGAGAGACAGCACAGGGTCAGGATGGACACGCGTGGGTGGGTGAAATATTTCAAATTGGCTGTGTGTGGTCTGACCTGTGTCCACGCTGTTGTTGAGATGGTGGTCGCTAGCCTCTCCATCCTCACTCAGATACCCAGGAGGAGGGGTCTCTGGAACACACACAAGAAGCCCAACCGTCACATGGCATTCCCACAACATTCCCACAACATTCCCACGACGTTCAGACCACCGTCACATGGCATTCCCACAACATTCCCACAACATTCCCAGGACGTTCAGACCACCGTCACATTACATTTACATTTTAGTCATTTAGCAGACGCTCTTATCCAGAGCGACTTACAGTTAGTGAATACATATATATATATTTTTTTTTATACTGGCCCCCCGTGGGAATCGAACCCACAACCCTGGCGTTGCAAACACCATGCTCTATCAACTGAGCTACATCCCTGCCGGCCATTCCCTCCCCTACCCTGGACGACGCTGGGCCAATTGTGCGCCGCCCATGAGTCTCCCGGTCGCGGCCGGCTGCGACAGAGCCTGGATTCGAACCAGGATCTCTAGTGGCACAGTTAGCACTGCGATGCAGTGCCTTAGACCACTGCGCCACTGCGCCACATGGCATTCCCACAACATTCCCACAACATTCCCAGGACGTTCAGACCACCGTCACATGGCATTCCCACAACATTCACATGACGTTCAGACCACCGTCACATGGCATTCCCACAGCATTCCCACAACATTCCCAGGACGTTCAGACAACCGTCACATGGCATTCCCACAACATTCCCAGGACGTTCAGACAACCGTCACGTGACCTTCACACCTTGCTACTTTGAAACAACACTAAGACCAACACTCATGAGATCAAAGCCTCACACCAGGTGACCAATTACATTTCTATTAAGTTCATTAAGGTAAGTTCATATAGTTTTATTGAATTTATTAAAACAACTTCCTCCAAGACTGCTGCACGCTACAGAAGACCTCAGGGTACACTACAGAAGACCTCAGGGTACACTACAGAAGACCTCAGGGTACACTACAGAAGACCTCAGGGTACACTACAGAAGACCTCAGGGTACACTACAGAAGACCTCAGGGTACACTACAGAAGACCTCAGGGTACACTACAGAAGACCTCAGGGTACACTACAGAAGACCTCAGGGTACACTACAGAAGACCTCAGGGTACACTACAGAAGACCTCAGGGTACACTACAGAAGACCTCAGGGTACACTACAGAAGACCTCAGGGTACACTACAGAAGACCTCAGGGTACACTTGTTCATGCTGTGCGTGTGGGAAAGGGTGGGTCATGTCTGTTAGTGTCCATGCTGTGGGAAAGGGTGGGTCATGTCTGTTAGTGTCCATGCTGTGGGAAAGAGTGGATCATATCTGTTATAGGTTCAAAGATGTTTCCAGAATGAAATGGTGGAAGACCAACCAGACCAGCACATTATAGCTTGGCCCAGTTGTGTGACTCACCTGGGATGTAGTTGCTCTGTGGCTCGATGCCGGCGGGGAAGTTGGTGTTCTCAGGGATAGAATGGCTGTAGTCGTCTAAAGGAGGGAACTCTGTAGGGATATCTGTATGTCTAGGAACCAGGACAGGAGGGAGGACTGAAGAGGAGAGAGAGAGAGCGAGAGAGAGGCATTGTTACGACACTGTACATAGCCTATAATATTACATTTGTAATGTCTTCATTCTTTTGAAACTTTTGAGTTGGGGGAAAAAAGTATTTAGTCAGCCACAAATTGTGCATGTTCTCCCACTTAAAAAGTTGAGAGAGGCCAGTAATTTTCATCATAGGTACACGTCAACTATGACAGACAAAATGAGGAAAAAAAATCCAGAAAATCACATTGTAGGATTTTTTATGAATTTATTTGCAAATTATGGTGGAAAATAAGTATTTGGTCAATAACAAAAGTTTCTCAATACTTTGTTATATACCCTTTGTTGGCAATGACACAGGTCAAACGTTTTCTGTAAGTATTCACAAGGTTTTCACACACTGTTTCTGTTATTTTGGCCCATTCCTCCATGCAGATCTCCTCTAGAGCAGTGATGTTTTGGGGCTGTCGCTGGGCAACACGGACTTTCAACTCCCTCCAAAGATTTTCTATGGGGTTGAGATCTGGAGACTGGCTTGGCCACTCCAGGACCTTGAAATGCTTCTTACGAAGCCACTCCTTCGTTGCTCGGGCGGTGTGTTTGGGATCATTGTCATGCTGAAAGACCCAGCCACGTTTCATCTTCAATGCCCTTGCTGATGGAAGGAGGTTTTCACTCAAAATCTCACGATGCATGGCCCCATTCATTCTTTCCTTTACACGGATCAGTCATCCTGGTCCCTTTGCAGAAAAACAGCCCCAAAGCATGATGTGGTCCTCTGTAGCTCAGCTGGTAGAGCACGGCGCTTGTAACGCCAAGGTAGTGGGTTCGATCCCCAGGACCACCCATACACAAAAAAAAAAAAAAAAGATGTATGCACGCATGACTGTAAGTCGCTTTGGATATTATTATTATTATGATGTTTCCACCCCCATGCTTCACAGTAGGTATGGTGTTCTTTGGATGCAACTCAGCATTCTTTGTCCTCCAAACAAAGTTGAGTTTTTACCAAAAAGTTATATTTTGGTTTCATCTGACCATATGACATTCTCCCAATCCTCTTCTGGATCATCCAAATGCACTCTAGCAAACTTCAGACGGGCCTGGACATGTACTGGATTAAGCAGGGGGACACGTCTTGCACTGCAGGATTTGAGTCCCTGGCGGCGTAGTGTGTTACTGATGGTAGGCTTTGTTACTTTGGTCCCAGCTCTCTGCAGGTCATTCACTAGGTCCCCCCGTGTGGTTCTGGGATTTTTGCTCACCGTTCTTGTGATCATTTTGACCCCACGGGGTGAGATCTTGCGTGGAGCCCCAGATCGAGGGAGATTATCAGTGGTCTTGTATGTCTTCCATTTCCTAATAATTGCTCCCACAGTTGATTTCTTCAAACCAAGTTGCTTACCTATTGCAGATTCAGTCTTCCCAGCCTGGTGCAGGTCTACAATTTTGTTTCTGGTGTCCTTTGACAGCTCTTTGGTCTTGGCCATGGTGGAGTTTGGAGTGTGACTGTTTGAGGTTGTGGACAGGTGTCTTTTATCCTGATAACAAGTTCAAACAGGTGCCATTAATACAGGTAACGAGTGGAGGACAGAGGAGCCTCTTAAAGAAGAAGTTACAGGTCTGTGAGAGCCAGAAATCTTGCTTGTTTGTAGGTGACCAAATACTTATTTTCCACCATCATTTGCAAATAAATTCATTAAAAATCCTACAATGTGATTTTCTAAATTTTTTTTCCCTCAATTTGTCTGTCATAGTTGACGTGTACCTATGATGAAAATTACAGGCCTCTCTCATCTTTTTAAGTGGGAGAACTTGCACAATTGGTGGCTGACTAAATACTTTTTTCCCCCACTGTATGTTTCCCATGCCAATGAAGCCCTTTGAATTGAAAGAGAGAGGAAGAGAGAGCGAGAGCGAGGGAGAGAGAGAGATAAAGAAAGAGAGAGAGAGAGAGAGCGCGAGAGAGAGATAAAGAAAGAGAGATAAAGAAAGAGAGAGATAAAGAAAGAGAGATAAAGAAAGAGAGAGAGAGAGAGAGAAGAGAGAGAGAGAGAGAGAGAGAGAGAGAGAGAGAGAGAGAGGTCATGAGCAGATGAGCTCCTGCATTTTTCAGCATGTTTTTACAAAAATATAGATTTAGAGTTAGATAAACCTGGATTTTTCCACACAACATAACCGTCACTCCAAATCAAAACTCTAAACCTACAACCTGATTTTGGAAATAATTACCTGGAAGGATTCTTATTCCCAAGGACTGTACAGAAAATGCTCTGGCAAACCAACGACCAGCAAAAAAAGCACAACAAAAACCTGAAAACACCATCCAACCTGGAACTGAGTGAGTAATGTTTAGTCTGAAAACACCATCCAACCTGGAACTGAGTGAGTAATGTTTAGTCTGAAGCTACTTTTAAAGCCAAGAAGAAAAATAAATTACAATATATTTTACTTTATAAGGACTGAATGCTACGTTAAGGCTTCCAAACTTGTTAGGACAGAACATATCTGGCTGCAACTTCAATTAGCACTGAGGTGTGAAGTGAGAGGTGTCAAAGCCCTTGAGCCCAACAATGGCAGGTGAGTTTCACAGCCTCCCCCAACCAAATGCAGAGGCCTTTGAAGCCCCCTCCCTCTGTGCAGAGGTCATTACAATACAGTTCCCACTGGATGTAAAAAATGAGAAGGCATGGAAAGAGTACAAAAAGAAGCTCCTTATGGAAAATCAAGAGACACTTTTAGCTGACTATTATAAAAATGGGAACATAAGCAACCTTATCTTCCAATAAATTAGAGGAAAAACTAAAAGAAATTGAGAAACTTATTCAAGAAAGATCAAGTGTAATATATTATAAAAATAAAGCAAACTGGATGGAATATGGGGAAAAATGCACAAAATTATTTTTTAATCTTCAACATAGGAATGCTACCAAGAAGAACTTAATGAAACTGGTTACAATTGACGGAGTCACCCATGATTCACCTAATTATATTTTGAAGGAGGAAACAAAGTACTTTAAGCATATGTTTTCTTTTCAGTCGCCTCCATCTCCTCTAACTGAAGCTAATTGTAGTGATTTTTTTTCTATTGATAATGTCAAATTAACAGCCATACAGAAAGACTCATGTGAAGGTGACATTACAAATTACAGAGGGGGAACTTCTGGATGCAATTAAAGACTTTAAGTCTGGGAAAACTCCAGGGTTGGATGGCATACCAGTCGAGGTATACCAAACCTTTTTTGATATACTAAGAGGACCGTTATTAGCATGTTTTAACCACTCCTATGTAAATAGTAGATTATCTGACACTCAAGAAGAAGGTCTGATCTCATTATTACTGAAACAGGATACAAGTGGAAAATATAAAGATCCAGTCCATTAAAAAAATTGGAGGCCCCTTACACTTTACATGGAAGATACATTGGAGATAATATAAGGCAAGTATTGGAAACAATAGAACACTATGGAAAATATGGGAAACCAGGCCTGCTATTCATAGCAGACTTCGAAAAGGCATTTGATAAAGTATGACTGGGGTTTATATATAAATGCCTGGAGCATTTAAATTTAGGAGAATCTCTTATAAAATGGGTCAAATTCATGTATAGTAACCCTAGGTGTAAAATAGTAAATAATGGCTATATCTCAGAAAGTTTTAAACTGTCAAGAGGAGTGAAACAAGGTTGTCCACTATCGGCATATATATTTATTGTGGCCATCGAGATGTTAGCTATTAAAATCAGATCCAATAATAATATCAGAGGATTAGAAATTCAGGGCTTAAAAACAAAGGTGTCATTGTACGCTGATGATTCATGTTTTCTTTTAAATCCACAACTAGAATTCCTCCACAGCCTCATAGAGGATCTAGATACATTTTCTAACCTCTCTGGATTACAACCAAATTATGACAAATGTACTATATTACGTATTGGATCTCAAAAAAATACAATTTTTACATGACCATGTAGTTTACCAATAAAATGGTCTGATGGTGATGTGGATATACTCTGAATACATATCCCAAAGGAAATAAATGATCTCACTTCAATACATTCTGGATTCTGTCTTAGGAGGAGGTCGGGAGAGGTTGTGTTTTCTCTAGCAGGAGGTAAGCTTGGCTTCTTATATGGTGTTGAGTAAAGCTTAAACCATGTATTTAGATTGTAGGTAGGTATTGTAGTTAGGTATTGTAGGTAGTTATTGTAGGTTATTGTAGGTAATTATTGTAGGTAAGTATTGTATTCGGCGGTGCCCGGTGAAGCACGAGGCTAGCTAACCCACTACCTGGACCAATAAAGCTAGCTAGCTAGCGGGTAGCTACTGGTAACTTTTAGCAACTGTGGATAGTTGTTTCCAATGTTATTTCACGCTTAAGAGTACCTGTAATTAAGCCAGCTAGCTACCTACCATTCAGCTGTTTTTCTAACCTCATTATCTGAGGCATTAACGTTAGGTAGTTAGTAGCTACTGTACTTAATTACAGCTACTGATTGCAGAAGACCAATGTCTTCTTGTCTGCCACCCAGACAGCTGGCGTCGGGTAAGTTTGGCTTTATACATAGCTTGGGCTTTGTCGAGTAAGGCTTAAACTATGTATTTAGATTGTAGTTAGGTATTGTAGGTAGGCATCGTGGGTTGCTGTGGGTAGTTATTGTATGTAATTATTGTAGGTTAGCATTGTATTCGGCGGTGCCGGGTGTAGCACGAAGCTAGCTAGCTAGCTAACTCACCTCCTGGACTAGCTGGCGAGTAGCTATTAGCAACGGTAGCAACTAAATACAATATCCTTTTAGCCAGCTACATTTGTTCGCATCGCCGCCGTTTTTCAAACAAAGTCAACACAGCAGCCATTGCTAGCTAGCCAACACGACCAGCTAGCTGTACTGTAGCAGCTAAATACAATATATTTGTGCTAAGCTAGCCAACGTTTAATTATTGCTGCGTTATGAAAGGAACTAGACACGGACACGAATTATCTGTTTAGTGTGTTAACACAC